CTTGTCAGCGCCTTCTTCAAGGGCAGATGGTTTTGCGTTTAATTCGGGGTGTGTGGCTTTAATTTTGGGGGCTGTCCGGGAGGGGCTATTTGGACTTAAAACTATGATACTGTTGGGTGTCCTGGCCCGAACGGGCTTGGCTTTTGATTTTGGAGGGACGAAAAAATCAGGTGGATTTGCTGAGTTTTTCCATTGATTTGATTTGGGATCGAAAAGCAAACAGAAACTGAAGTTGTTTCGCAAATGGCAAATCGTGCCTGTGAAATGGGGTTGAAATGTTTGATCTTTATTGAAAAAGCAAACAGAAAATCGAGTTGTGTCGCATATTGTGCCTTTGAATGGGGTTGAAGATGTTTGACCTTTATCGGAAAAGCAAACAGAAAATCAAGTTGTTTCGCCTTATGTAATATATATATATATGTATAAAAGATAAGAACTGGTACTATTTTTTCCACCAATGTATCTTTACCTTTGAGTCGACAGAAGAAAACAAACTCAAAGCACTATTTGTTTGGGTTGTTGTTGTTGCGGTTGTTGTCGTTGCTGCCGCTGTTGTCCCTAAAGCGCCTGACAGCCCGAAGCCTTAAACCCTGACCCATAAACCTTCTAAAGCCTTAAACCATGACCCACAAACCTTCTAAGCCCTAAGCCTTAGAAGCACTAAGCCGTAGCTTACTTATAACCCAGGGCCTTAAACCATAAATTCTTAGGAACTAACTTAGGGTGCTGCCGAAGTACTTTAGTGCTTTAGGCTTAAGATTTAGGGTTTAAGTTAGGATAGACGGTGCTGCAATAGCACCGTTAGGGTGCTGCAAAAGTACCCAATGTAGGTTAGGCTTAAGCTTTAGGGCTTTTCTTATAGGCACAGTTTAGTTTAGTGCTTTAGGCTTAAGATTTAGGGCTTTCATTAGGCATAGGTTTTTATTTAAGTTAGGATAGACGGTGCTGCAACAGCACCGTTAGGGTGCTGCAAAAGTACCCAATGTAGCTTATAGGCTTAAGATTTAGGGTTTCTTTAAGGCATAGTTTTTTAAGTTAGGTTAAACGGTGCTGCAATAGTACCGTTAGGGTGCTGCAAAAGTACCTAATGTAGGGTTTTTAGGCATAGGGCATTAAAAAGTTAGGCATCGTTTTAAATTTTACTTTAATCTTAGGATAAGCGGTGCTGAAGAAGCACCGTGTGGGTGCTGCAAAAGTACCCGAAGTAATACTAGGCCTTAGGTAGGCATACTTCCCCTCAGCCCCCTAAACTCCATCCGAAACCCGAAACCCCAATCCCTGAGCAACCCTCAACTCGAAGCCCGAAATCCCCGAACCCAGGCCCTCGGACCCTCCGGACCCTTTCTCCTTAAACCCTAAACCCTACCCTAAACCCTGAAGCCCAAAACCTGGAGCCCTACCGGCCCTGAATGAAGCCTTTTTAAGAATAAAGATTCTAATCGAAAACCTTAAGTTCTCCTAAACTCCACCCTTTAAACCCTCAAGCCTAAAGCCTAGGTTCTCAGTTGAGCCGTTATCCTTAAAAAGTAAACTCCTCCCTAAACCCTCAACCCTCCCTAAAACCACAGCCCTACCCTCCTAAAAACCACCCTATTCCTTAAACCCTAAGCTCCACCCCAAACCCCCAACCCTGAACTCTGAGCCCTACAAAGCCTAAACCCTGAAGCAGCCCTAACTTCCTAACTTTATCCTTATAAACCCTAACCTCCACCCTAAACCCCCAACCCTAAAAATTTAGCCCTACCGGCCCCGGACCCTTTAAACCGTAAGCTCCACCGTAAGCCCTACCCTAAACCCTAAAGTCGAGTCGTTACCCTTATATAAACTTTAAATTCACCCGAAACCCGAGCCCTAAACTCCACCCAAAAACCCGAAGCCTTAAACCCCGAAGTCGCCGGACCCCGGCGCGGCCCCGGACCGCCGTCCCCGTCGCCACCTGGCAGGCCGGGACTTGGGCGGTTTGGGTGGTCCCAGGGCTCTTTGAGGAATATGCTACCGAAGGAGTAGGCGGCTTTGCGGTTTGGGTGGTGGTAGGGGCTGGCTGGTAGGAGTGTTTTTGTAGTTAGTTGCCGAGTTTGGGTGGCTGATATTGGGTTTGTAGGGTTAGTTGCTGATGTTTTCGATGTTTGCTGATGTTCTCGGGTAACAACACTATGTTGATGACCCTGGGTTTTGTTTCCGCCCTACATTGTTTATGACATTGGATGATAACATTGACATTGTCTACCAACGGAAGTTAATGGTGCTTGAATGTTGTTATGATCCTGGCTTCTGTATGACCCTAACATCTTATGACCACCCTGTTATTCTTATGACCACCCTGTTATTCTATGACCGAATGAGTGACATCTTATGACCAACACGATCTTGTGACCCTGGCTTCTTTTTCCGCCCTAGTCTCGGAAGCCAATTCGGAAGCCAGTTTGTAGCGGTGTTTACAGTGCAACCGGGGCCCGTGCGGCTGATGTCTTGTTCCTATTTTTCCCATGTTCACGATGTCTGGTTCCCGGTCCTCTTTTGTGCATTGGCATTTAACATTGGCAAGCTATACACATAAATGAATTCCTCCTGCAGCTTGGCTTAGCTGGTGTTGACGAAGGCCCCTCCACATTCTGGACAAAATGCCCACTTGATATCTTGGCGTTGGGAACCACACTTTGTACAAAACCCGAAGGCACCATTCTTCTTCGTCTTCTTCTTTGGCTCCTCGCTGCCGATGGCGTTGACGATGGGGGAGAAGGCCTGGTGAACCGCAGATCTCTTCCTCTTGGTAGTTGGGGTATCGTACACGTGCTGAATCGTCCTGGTTGTCGTTCCACACACGGCACTGACCACTGCTGCGGACTGGCAGCTGTCAGTAAGAAGTATCACCTGCTGTTGGAACGTATGACTGCTTAGGATATATAATAATTATGATTATGTTGGTGCAAATTCCGTGGTTTATGTTCTACCGTTGATCGTGTCAGTTGCTGTTGAACTGTTGCTGTTGGCTGTTGGACTTGCTTCGTGTTTCTCTTTTGTTGTTGTTGCTGTTAATCAAGCCGAGTCGCAGCTGATCTCTTTAGTGAATGAGTCCCGAGCTTGTCAATGTCGAAGTCTGTCCACGTGTGATTCTTGTCCCGGTTCTCACGTTTCAGGCCGGCTGCGACAGTCTTCAACGATGCCAGATAGGCTCGCTCGCTGACTGCTTTCGACCAGTGTCTCTTCCACCACTGACCATGTCCGGCTTGCTTGCTTAGTCCTGGAAAGAGGAGGGCTGTGTTGATCACTTTCTGATTTGGGAACGGCCAGCAGCTGCATGATGTAGTGCTGTCTTTGCAGAGTGGTGACTTGTACATCCAGTGATAGAGCAGAGAGGCAAACTGTGGCAGGAGGGGTATCTCGCGAGCCTTGGTCTTGCCGTTGATGCGAGGAATTCGGATGGTCGGCGTGGTGGAGCTTCCCGGCACGATGCCCCGGAGCCACGAGGCACGACATTGTCTTGCACAGTCGGCCCTTTCACCGCACTGCAGTTGAAGTAAAGTTAATACCGCAGCCCATGCAAACCCACGGCAAACTAATCTTCTGAACAGATCCACCAGTTGCTCAACCTCCAGAGGCTCCCGCTGCCCACGTGACTTCTGTGGTTCGTTCGATGTGCATCGATCTCTGTGTTGTGGGCAGCAGAAACGAATGACTTTAGCATCTCTTCGAAGGGAGGGCCGGCACTGGGTCATGTCCACTAGGCTCTTCCGAACCTGCAGATAGGATGAGATGTTCTTGACGTCCTTGGTGCTTCTGCACCCCTTCCAGGCACAAGGAATTTTTCGTGGGCTCCGTTTTTTTCGCCTCGGGCCTGGCTTGCTTTTTTTCACCATGGCCTTAAGCTTGGATCGGACCCAGGATTCTAGATTTATGTAGTAATCACAGGGGAAGAGAAAGCAGAGTCTCATGGTGGCCGTGGTAATAATGATCTGGTCTGGTTGGGCTCCAAGTAGGCCAGGTTTCTTTTCAAACAGAATCGGCATTGAGCAGCAACACAGCTACATGCAGTGGACAAGGTGCAGGAAGTCGTAGGGGCAGAACACAAGGAAGAAGCTTCGATTACAGCCCCCGATTCTCCGGTCCGAGGCGTGGGCCACGGCTTCTGCTGGCATGTCGATGGTGGCCTGGTGGCTTTTGGTGGGAGGTTGAAGAGTGGGTTTAGGGTTTAGGGTGGCTTCAGGTTGGGCTGGGATCATCCTTTGAGTCTTTTCCTGAGCCGTATTTATTCTCTACTAAAACCGTAGCCCAAGTTAGTTTAATTAAGGTTCGTTTTGAGCTTGGGATACATTTTATGCGGTGCTGCCCAAGTACCGTGTGGGTGCTGTAAAAGTACCCTATGTAGGTTAGGCTTATGCTTTAGGTTTTGTTTTTTTATTAGGCATAGTTTTAGGCTTTAAGATTTAGGGCTTTTCTTAGGCATAATTAAGTTTTATTTAAGTTAGCATCAAGAGTGGTTTTATCTTAGGGTAGACGGTGCTGCCTAAGTACCGTGTGGGTGCTGCGAAAGCACCACGATCATCATAGCTTAATTTTGATATATCCAGCCAGTATTTAGCATTGGCTTAATGCTTAATCAAGGGCAATCTAGGCAATCTATAACCGGTGCTATGTACAGAACCATGCTTAAGGGTTCTGGTTATTTCAGGATTAAGCCCGACCCAGCCTGTCAGTCAGGATCCGAGCCTCAGTGTCAGCTGCCGCGCTGGGTTCAGGGCTTAGGGTGGACTCGCGGGATGTGAACATGCAGTGTCCGACCATGGCTGACTGAATCTGCCTCGTGTCAGTGTCTCGGAAACATGTTACGATGGAAATAATAAGAGGTACTTGTGCAGCACCTTTCCGATCATGATGTGGTAATTCGGCATCACCACAATCCCTGAACCCTGAATTCCCAGACAGATTTCTCAGACATAAACAAGCTTTCACCTTAAACCCGAAAAACCGTTCTTGGTAATACCTGGCCAGGTGCCAAGCCGGATGCCAGAGAGCGGACAATCGGGGCTTGGGCCTCGGCTTCC